TCGGACCGGTTGGAATTTTGGTTGAATGGATCGTTCCGACCGGGAAAAGAGGACCACCTCAAAAGGTGGACCCGTTTTTTCGAAACTTTTCCGGTTGGACCGAACCGATCCATTGAGTTTTGGACCGAAATTTCCGGAAAGTTTGGTTGAATGGATCGCGCCCTGAGTTTTGGACCATAAATTTCCGGAAATTTTGGTTGAATGGATCGCGCCCATTTTTCCGCCCGTTTAGACTTTCCCTCGTCCCCACTATCCGGCCTCTCGGTCTGCGAGGATGACGATGTATCCGAAATGACCACATTACACGCGAAAAATGCAAAAATTGCCGCATGGAATCATGGGAAGACTGCAGAATCGTTCTTTTATTATGGCCTCGACATCATGTCCTGGCGTTCCAGAATTTTAAGTTCCAGAATTGTATAGGCAGCAACGAGCCTGGGAAGAGGCTTACGATTCTAGACCGGAACAGGACAACAGACAGAGAGGTTGCAATTTCTCTTTAGCTGTGAAGCTGGCGAAGAGTTCAAGTCTGTCTACTTGGACGACTCACTACCAATGGAATGGCGTCAGAGAGTCACGAAGAGGAAGAATACTTTCCGTCTTTTCCTTCAAAACTGTTTCATATGGTAGAGAATGACAAGTACAATAGGATAATTTGGTGGACTGAGGTGAGACAATATTTTATATTTTTTCTTGTTTAATATGGCCGATGTAGACGATACCGCTTCGTCCCAATGAATGTGAGGGTGCCCACAGTGTACCTTCGGCTTGCAGACCTTCCAATCATCGACGCGTTGTCATGCAGTTAACATATGAATTAAAGTATACACTTTGTTCCTTGTTCTGCAGAATGGAGATGGGTTCTTCATTTGCAAGGAGAGAGAGTTCGTAAAATCAGAAATACTGGACAAGTACAAAGTTAAGAGTTATGGCAGCTTCACACGACAACTCGGCAAATGTAAGGACAGTCCGTGTAATTTTTGTTTTCCTTCCTAAAGACAAGTTGGGCCATGTGCGGAGTTGTGGGGACTCGGGAGGGGGGCATTAAACGGAAGCTTTGGTAGGGTGGTGCTTCTGAGGTCTTCCAAAAGAGCTAAAGGGAAAAATGGAGGAAGCCAAGGAAAGAGGGCAGGGAGCTGGGAAGGTAGGAGGTCTGGACCCCGGGGGTCTGGACCCCCGTGTTCTCCCTGGTACCCTGTTTAATAAGACAAGATGTTTTCAAGGCTGTAGCTCTAAGAACACAAAATGATTCATAATGATAAATTAAATACAAGGTACATCACTGCAATTTATAGGTAAAAAAGTGTGGACCTTCAGTTCATAAGGCTGTTCGGCGACTTTGAAAGAAACAGTCATTTAGCATATTATTTTCATATATAAATGATTGTATTATTATTTAATTTGTCTTTTCACTAAAATTGAGTGCTAAATTGCTTTTCTGTTACTTGGTATGCCTTAATAAGCAGAAATTGTAAAGAACTGGCCACAATGTCATGTAATATCATATTATTACAATTTTAAAAATATTTCTAACAAGAAAATTGAAATCCAGAAGTTAAATGTATGTGGTGATGTGTATGTTGAGCAAAATAAATTTAAAATCAGCAGAATTCTTGTCATTTGGATTATAAACAAACACTGTCTAGAGATTCCATTAACAGGGTATGTTTTATAATTTTTTTCAATCATGACTAGCTATAGGTTACTTTGCATTATATTTACACTGTATGCATTCAGGCCATCTCATATTACGTGATGGTGCAATTTTGCACAATTGACCTCAAATTGCATCCGATCGCACAATTTGAGGAAAATCGCATAATTCGTAAAAACATGCTGAATTCAAGTAAAGTAAACAATGAATCCTAACTTTAATCAAACATTTTCCCAATCTTAATGTTATTTAGCATGATTTACCACTAAAGAAAGCCTTGCAAGACACCTGAAACCTTCGATCGCAGTATCTGGGCAGCCATTTTGATTTCAGAGACAAGCAGTTTGGTCAGCGGTGTAACAGCGTCATGTAATATTAAGCAAGTGCTTAATATTACATAAATAATTGAACAAATTTAACTATTTTGTTTTAAAGTAGATGTTTTATTATTCCTTTACTTTCAAATTGCCTGTTAAACAACATAAAAGTGGTTTTTCTCCTTTGAAACCTGGTAAAACGATGTAAATTAGCCCTGAAAAAATCGCAATAGTTTATCGCATAATAGTCCTATCTTATCGCACAATCTACCCTGAAAATATCGCACAATTTCTTATTTTTTATCGCACCCTATGAGATGGCCTGTGCATTGTCTAAGTTTGGTATGCTTAAACTGACTTTCAACACAGCATTGCTATAATAGTCATATTAATAATAGTGCAAGTTTTTGTGGTTTCTGGCAGCTTGGGTGGACTAATTATTCTATAAGACTGACCACTCAAGGTAAACCCTGAACAAGTATGCAAATTGCCCTGTAATTTGATCTTGGCCAGGCTGGTCAAGGTCTCTTGGCAAGCTAGACCAATTTTTGGCCCTGCCAGCGGTGGCCAGTGCAGGCCAATTATAGGCCAAACTTTTCTACTTTTCCTCGCCGGGCTTTGCCAGTTTTGACCCTGGCCAGCAATGGCCTGTTCAGGCCATGTAGACCTTGTATGTCTTTTGCTTTCTCTTCTCAATTTAGGCCACGGCCAACTGCAGCCAGGCCCGGCCAGGCTGACCCTGTGGCTGTGGCTTCCCGGTTTTTTTATCCCCTGGCCAACATGGCCAAAGCCCGGCCACAAGCCGGGCTCACCCCGGCTTTCAGGCCAGGCTTTAACCCCGGTCTGGCTCGGTTCCTGATGCAAGGGCATGTACATTAGCTCTTTTCTTGGGGGATCCTGCAAGATGTCTTTATATGAGTGGTGAGCAGGTAAAAGGAGTCTTGAGAGGCCAGTGGCATCCTATTGGCACTTGCTCTGCTTGCATTCAAAATGGAGATCTTGCTTGCATGGTTAACCTATTATATCACAACTTGCACCAATTAGCACTAGGCCTGAGATAAATTTTAATCTGGGTTTCATGTTCTTTTTTTTAAAAGTACACTCTTGGATAAATTTGTCTATTCTTTTTAGAAAATCCCATCATCAAATTGTAGACAAAAAGGAACAAAGTTTTGAATTTTTTTCTAAGCTTTGATCATGCATATCTGAATTCAAATTTGTACTAGCCCTGGGTTATCTTAATTAGCTTTTAACAACCTCAGCATGCCAAGAAAGTTGTGTCCGATAGCCCAGGGATAGTGAGGTGTAGTAAAGGATAGATAGGGATAGTGAGTGCTTAGTAAACCTCCCAAGGCCCAAGGACATGTGCATCCATAAATCGATGGTTGCACTGCTACAAACTTTTACGGGGAATTTATCAGTAATCTGGCACCGTATGGGGTGCCCAGATCATTCTTTAATTTGCAAAATCTTTGCTTTCTATAATAAACCTTTCCACTAAATATTAAGAAGTTTTCTGTCTCAATGTTTATCAATGGATGAAAAAATGGATTTGCACAAATTTGCTCCTTCCAAATATGTGGCAAATATGTAAATGCTGAGGAGTAAATATATTATGGCAAAGATGGTAAATGCCATATTTGCATACCAAAAAACAGGGGGTGTAAATAACTAGGCAAACTTGGCATTTACCATGTTTGCCTTATATTTACCCCTCAGTATTTGTTTGCGACATATTCGCAAGGAGCTAGTTTGTGCAACTTCATGTTATCCGTAACATTTTTTGTATAAAATTAACTTTTGTTTGGTACCTAGAAAAAAACCTTTGCAAACTATGATGTAAAACAGATTATAGTTGTGAAGAAAGTGACTCATATGGCTTTGATGACGCACTAGCTTTTGTCAGTATTACCCACAGGGTGAAGGTGATGAGAGGTGCAAAAGACTTTTTTGGATTAAAACACAATTTTTTTGGGGTGGGGGAGGGGGTTAAAAATATTTGGCTAGTATTTAACCAATTATTGTTTAGATACACATGTACACATGTGTACATGTATACAGGACAGGCACAATTTTTTTTTATCATTCACGAACTGTCTAGTGGTACACTGTACATTGCTTAATCTTTTCCAGAATCCTTTTAGTTGTGAGCATTTTCATGGTTCAAAAACTCAGCATTGGATTATTAACTTATTTTTTGTTAAGTTTTTGTGTGAGGGCCACTAGGGAGAATAATAGAATTTTAAAGATCTTTTATTAAAACCACTATTTGCAAATAGGCTTTTTATCATGATTGTTGCAATTTATTATTATCAATTTTTTTTAGAGGGCCACTTGGGAGAAAACGTTTCATAGTAATTGGTTTCATCCTCTTAAAATGAAGGTTATATGGGTTTTGTTTTTGACCTTGCATGCGCTGTCAGTTTGAAGGATGTTTTGGGTATAACGTATAACCCCATTCCACCTGGGCATAAAAAACGATTTTCACTTAAGGTTGAAAGGATGCATTATTGATTCGGAAGCTGCATGACAGTGGTAATTGGTAGCTGCTGGAGATTTTGAAGAACATTTAGTCTTTTATCATTTTAATGTACTCTAGATGGCTTCCATAAAAAACGAGGACCAACCCAAGAACGAGCAAATGGGCCCTCATCCTATTACTGCCATGACGAAGGTTATTTTAAAAGAGGTTGTAAAGATTTACTCGTGAATATCATTAAAAAGGTTAGTAACACTTTAGGTTAGTATGTGTAACCAACTTACATAGCTGTAAAAGTATGTGTTAAAAATTACACGTAAGATAATGATATTATTATATATTTTTAAAAATTTTATTCATCATTAGTCAATGAATGAGATCATTAATTTTTTCTTTAATTGTAACATTCCTGAAGCTTCTTGTAGATTGGGAGTTTAGTATAATTAAGAGGCTAAACTAGTGATTTTGGATTAAATGCAATTTGTTCTCTCATTTATAGGAAAATCAGGGAACTAAAAAAGAAACATCCTCCAAAGCGGGTAAGGATTAGAAAGTACCGAAGCGGGGGACAAAATGGTTGGCTGTTTATTGTGTTAAGCAAAAATATTTATATTTAACAACTGCATTTTTGTTCAACGTCAAGGAATTACATTTATTCAACTTCAAAGAACAATCTATACAAACAGGTGACTATAATTTATCCATTCAACGTCAAGAAAGTCCTATGTATTCAAGAATTTTATATTGATTCAAGAAAATTATATTCATTCAACAAATTTTTGTTCATTTAAGAAATTTATATTTATTCAACAAAACCACATTATTTGTTCAAGAAAAATATATGCATTGCCAACAAGGCAACCGAGCTAAGAAGCGAGGTTGACTCGGCGGCAGAGACTCTCAAATTCTGCGTAACCCTCTAAAATTTGCATTTTTGACCATATTTGGGTGTAAGTAAGACCCCATATTTGGGTAGTGACGTCATGGTCTTGTATTTACAACTCGTGGTGCAAGATTGGGTGATTCAGTGTGCAGCTGTTCGTTGTCTGTTCAAGAGGACCTAACTGGTGAGCAAGCTTTAATATGATTTCTAGTTTGAAAGGGCAATTAGTACTCTGGTTTGCTTTATAAATTGTGTTTAAAGCAACAGCTGATCAAGGAATAGGGTTTTACGCTCAAATTTTTGTCAGAACTAGCTTGTTCTTTGCAGCTCGATTTACATTGAGGTAGCGTGTTCACTTCACGGCTCAGATCCAGGGTTTTCAGTGTTCTCTTTTCCTTTGTAAATTGAATTTTAAGCGGTAGTTGATCAAGGCATAGGGTTATATTCTCAAAACTTATTATCAGAACTAGCATGTTGTTCGCAGGTCGATTTACATTGAGCCAGTCCTCACCTTCCGTGAGGAATGCAACGTATTTGCGCACCTTTTTTTAGAATTTATTTATGTCTTTCGAGAGATTTTGTCAACCAGTATGTTTTTTCGCTGCTCGATTTGCATTGAGACAGCCCAAAACTCCCGTGAGGAATGCAACGAATTTGCGGACCTTTTGTTTTGAAGACTATCATTATGCCTTTCAAAACACTCTTAGTCCTGTGACACTCGCTCATTAGATCTTTGTATTTTATTCAAGTTTATATTTTTATACCTCTAATACATTCCGCCCCATTCTTGTGCGCTTTTCACACATTTTACTTTACACTAATTTTTTCTTATGTATATTACCACGCGAAATATTTTTCTTGTCCCTGATGACGCTGTTGCTCGGAATTTAATTATTATTTTTAATTTCAGCAGTCAAAGGCCTCATTTGAACTATATTTTTCTTCCTAACATTTATAGCTTTGAGACAATAGAATTTTCCACGAAACATAAGTGCTAACTTGCTCATATTTACCAACAAAGCTTCAAGCCATGTTGTTATTGTTTAATAAAAGTGAAAGCCTAGAATGTACTAAAGTTGTTGTTTTGAAGTTGGGTGCCATCCTTTTCTGTAGCGGAATCTATTTTAAACCTCTAAAATTATGAAAAAAAATATCGCGAAGATCTGAATAGGCACATTCCACAAATTATAACCGAATTCGCCTCGTTGGCACTTGCCGGAAGGTACCCCGAGTAATTAGGTTGAGTATGATAGTTCGGGTGAGCGTAGCCCTGAATAGGACTGTTGTTGTTGTTGACAGTGACTGACGTTTCGACAACCAGTGCGGTAGTCATCTTTAGGGTCAGAGTGAGTTGTTTCACGTCAGTTTATGGGATTAAGCTCTCAGGTTATTGACCTGATTGGTCAATTGAGTCGCGATGTTTCTGGTCATCTGTCAGTTAAGCTGTGAAGACTCGTAATGTCATTGGTGCGTTTCGATCCGTCTATTGTCAGTTAAACATTCGTCTACTGGTAGTCAAATTGTCAGTTGTCCAGTCGTTCTCTCGTAGTTAATTTTGCTTGATTCTGTCAATAAGTCGTTTGTACGGTGCCGGTAACTCTGTTGACTACGATTCAGTGGCGTTTGTTCTTAAGTTAGGAAACCAGCTTTCTGAAGAACGTCGTTGTTAGTAGTAAATGTTTTAAGAATACATAATACATATCGCAAAGTCCCAGCCGATTTGATATTTCGTCTGAAAATCGTTCTCAGCAATGTGATTATTGTTGGTGTGCAGTTTTCTCTAAAAATCATTTATTCTCTCGACTCAAGCCTTGCTAAACAATAATAAGAAATCTCATGTTACATAGGTTACGTCATGAGACGAACAATAACCTGACATTCCCCTTTCGGGAAATCGAAAGAAAACATAAATCAAATGAAATCAGTCTCTATATTCTATGATGCAAAAAAATGAAACCGAAAAGAAAATCATACGAAACGTCTCAGTCCGGTTTTTTTTCTTACTTTTGTCTTCAAAGAGTCTTTCCATGACCTAAGCCTATTTTTGAAGGTCCAATCGTTTTGGCGGAATAACAGTTCTGCCTGAACGAGTTACTGTGAAATTGCTCGAACTTTCACACTTGGGCAGGTCATCTCCGTTTTCTTTCTCCAACTTAGGAGCAGGGGTTGGGGTTTCAACCAGTTTTCTCCTATTTCTCCGCAGAGGGGATTGGTCGGTTTTAACCACGTACGATCCAGGTTCGGGGGATTTCTGCACTTTAACAGCAGGGGCACTCCGGTCTGTCACCCAAACTTTTTCGCCTGGTTTTAGCACAGGTAGAACTGAAGCACGATGTAGCCAGTTGTAGTTTTTTGCTTGCTTGTGCTTGTACTCCATCTCAACTTTTCTCAACTGCTCTGTTTCTGGCCATTTTTGTGTTAATTTCTCTGGAGCCAACGGAAGTGTAGAACGTAGTTTTTTTCCCATCAGTAGCTCTGCAGGGGTGTACTCATTGTAAAGTGGCATAGACCTGTATGACAATAGTGCCAAATAAGGATCTTCAGACTTGGTTATCAGGTCTTTAGCCGTCTGAACAGCTCTCTCTGCTTTCCCATTGCTTTGCAGGTAGTGAGGACTACTGGTTAGGTGAGTAAATCTCCATTCTTCAACACATTTGGAGAATGTAGCGGCTGAAAACTGTAGACCATTACCAGATATAATGATCTCTGGGATGCCATGAAGACTGAAGCACGACTTCAGATGATTGATTGCACTTTATGAGGTGCTTTTTAAGGAGGCCATTTAGAAGAATCTTAATTATCAACAGCGATTATATATTCTCTACCACTATGGTGAAAAAGGTCGACGCCTATCTTCTGCCATGGTCGTTCTGGAAGTATCAATGGTGTCATTGGTTCAGCATGGTTTCTTTCTGTTTGCGGCATGTTGTGCACGTGGTAACCATCTCTTCGATTTGCTTGCTCAGACCTGGCCACCATACAGAGTCACGAACTCTTTCACGAAATTTGCGGCTTCCTTGGTGTCCCGCATGAATTTTGTTCAGGATGTCTAATCGAATATATGTAGGGATGATGATTGTCTGATCTTTCAGAAAAACCTCTTTGGACAGTCATAGTAGCCCCCCTCGGACCAATATGGTTTCAATGAGGTGTTCAGTTTTAATTTATCTGGCCAGCCTTCGGTACAGAATTCAAACATATTCCTGCATACTTCATCATTCTTTTGGTGAAGTCTTAACTCATCCAGTTTTCTCTCTGTTGCTGGAAAGTTCTCCAAGATGTGTGAAACGTACAAGTTTCATCTTCTTTTGAAAGTTGTTTACTTAGGGGTGCTCTTGAAAGGGCATCTGCAGTCACCGAATCTTTCCCAGCGGCATGTAGTATCTTGAACGAATACTTCATCAGTCTCACTGGAAATCTTTGAATTCTTGGGGGTAGTTCATCCAGGGTTTTTGAACCAAAGAGAGGCACAAGTGGTTTTGATCGGTTTCAGTTAGGATATCTTTGCCCAGGATATAATCGTTGAACTTCTCACATGCCGAGGTTACTGCAAGCGCCTCCTTTTCGATTTGGGCGTATCTTTGTTCTGTACTGGTCATGGACCTTGACGCGTAGGCAACAGGCTTTTTCTCTTTGTTGTCTTGCTCTTGCACAAGTACAGCGCCAAGGCCTAATGATGATGCATTAGCTGATAACATGGTGACGTTTTGGGGATCGTAATGAGCGAGGACGGGTGTTGAGCTAAGCTCATCCTTGAGTTTATTGAAAGATTCTTGCTGTTCTTGTCCCCAGTGAAATTGCAATCTCTGACACTCAACTTGGGTCACACTGCTCTGATACATGTCTTTCTCTCCTCCAATGTTGTTTTGGAATGTTTTTTGGTAGACTTGTCCAAGTTCGAGGCCAACATTGAGAGGAAAGGGAAAAGGAGGTCGAGCACAACATGTCAACGTTATTCTTCCAACTGACCCAAGTTCTAAAGTCACAAGTTGTGGTTCTTCTCACTAAGGAGATCTATGAGTGGTTTTGTTTTCTCTGTCAGGTGGGGAATGAATCGCTCAAATTGATTGACCATTCCGAGAAATCGCTACAGGTCACTAACATTTTGGGGTGTGGCCATTCCTTGAACGGACTCTACCTTCTCAGGGTCTGTCTTTATGCTTTCTCCGCAGATCACGTGTCTAGCAAATTTGATTTTTTCTCTCGGAACATTCGCAATTCTCCGGGTTAAGGGTTGTACCTGCTTCATCAAGCTTTTTGAGTACTGCTCGCACTCTTTCGTCATGTTTTTTTTGTGTTTTTCCTTGGGTAAGCATGTCATCTATGATAGAAATATGCCCATCCAATCCTTCCAGGATCTGAGTGATCTTTTTCTGATAATGTTCAGGAGCAGACTTGATACCAAAGGGCATTCGGTTAAAACAAAATATTCCGAAGGGTGTGATAAATGTGGTTAGCAAACCAGAGTCTGGGCCTAATTTCTGTTGTCAAAATCCCGAATTGCAGTCCAATTTGGGAAAGTACTTGGATTCTTTAATTTGAGCCAGCATATTTTCAATCTTGGGTATTGGATAACTTTCATTGAGTTTTGTGGGGTCTAAACACATGCGGATTTTGCCATCAGGTTTGGGGACGACAACCATGCCTGCACACCAGTCGGTGGGGAT